TATTTGCTTTTATCAAATTCGAATTCGAGCTCGACCTTGATGAGTTGCAAAAAATAAAGCTCGAACTCGAATTCGAGCTTGAGTTCCAAAAAATAAAAAAATTTATTTTATTTTTTAAAAAAATAAATAAAATATTTTTCTTAATAAATAATAAAATATTATGAATATATATGTAATTTTATTATTAAACTAATATATATATATATATATATATATATATATACTCGAACTCGCGAGCTAACGAGCTTAATATTTTTCATCTCGAGTTTGAGTTCGAGTTCGATTTTGTCAATTCGAACTCGATCAATATCGAGTTTGAGCCAAACTTTGACTCAGACCGCTCAATTCGATTGCAACTTAAGTCACAACCATATCTAGTCATACGAGTTTGACTGTTTGTGGATATTTTTAAATGGTATGTAAAATTCACACACACAAATATGACTGATCGTGGATATTTTTAAAAGGTTTGTAAAATTCACGCATCCAAATATACATGTATATGTATATGTGTGTTAATATATATATATATATGTGTATGTATGCAATGTTCGTAGTTTCAATCAACTTTTCATATTATGGTCTATTTGGATATGTGTTTTATAAAACTCGAACACAGATGAGTGTTAATGTATTATCAAAACATTTGCTCCGGTATTTTAAAAGTATTTTTAATGTATTTTTTGAATATTTGTAAATATATTAGTGAAATTCCTTCCTCCTGCTCTACCTCCCCCCTCCCCTTCATCCCTAACAAGCCACTTTTCCTTCTTATTCTTTTTTCTATTATTCATCTTTTCCTTCCTTCTTTCTTTTTCTCCCATTAACTCTTATTCTCTATATATATAGCTCTTGTATTCCTTGCATATGTAATCTATATGTGTATTGGGAGTGCAACAAGGATGCTGAATGTAATTTATGGGTTTGAAGTTTTAGTAGTCGTTTGGATTTAAATTCATATTATTTTAGTAAATAGAGATGGAAGATAATTGAAACTCACGAACTTAGCTCAATAAAAGCTTGTTTTAACTTGATTTGTCAACTAATCAAGCTAAAAACTAATGATATCAATGTTTATTGAAGTGTCAATTCATTGAGGATTTAGCTTGGTTGGAAATGTTTAAATAAGAATATTTGGATCTCATATCTTAAATATATAAAAGGGGGAAGGGGAATAGCTACAGTTCAGCCATGGGCCGGTTTCGATGGTAATTCTGATGATTTCGTGGGGTGTCTTGGTCTTTCCATCAACAAAATCCTCCAAATCACACAACAAAATCCATCACCCCCGACACAGGCTACCCTGCGCTTGGCGCAGGGCCCAAAAACTAGTAGACTTGTAAAGTCACAAAGATATGTAAATATAATTTTATTAAAAGGAAAAGCATAATAGAATGTCCTTATTTTCATTGTTAAATTTAAATTAGATAAGTAGTTCTTCTATTTCAAATGCTGTTCGAATATAAAGCAAAATTACTTGAACTACATATAAGTAATTGTAAAATGTACAATAATTGTAATCACTAAAGTAAAATAATTTTGAATAGTCTATATGATAGGGGTGAAGTGCAAATAAATTAAATTAACAGCAAAATAATTTAGTAGTTTTGGTAAAAAAATGGCACCATTGTGAAGGGTGAAATTCACAAATTAAATCCAAAATAACATTTTTTAAGGTATTTGAATTTTAAAAGAGAATCTTGAGAATTTTTAAAATACGACGGGAAATTTTGTACTATTTTGTGGGTTGTCACCATTAATTAACTCTATCATGGTTTGAGTTAAAGTGTCACCATTAGTTTTTTTCTATTAATTATTTTTTCCATTCAAACATAAAAAGGAGAAATTGAAATAAGAAATAGATAAATAAGAACTATAAAATAATACTAAAGATTTGGTTTAAAAACTTATAATGATATTTGTAGTCAACCAAAAAAGACTTGGTAACTTTTGTTTCTTCTTTATTTGTTTTATATTTTCCTTTTATCTTTTTGGTTTCTTACTTATTTTATATTTTCCTTCTATCTCTTTTGTATTTGGAGAGAATTAAGATTTTGTAGGCCAAAGCATATATTTTCAAAATCATCTCTTCTCTTTAAAAAAGAAAAAAGACAGAAAGAAAAGGAAAAAGAAAACAAGTAATGAAAGGATTAAATTATCAATTTTTTAATTTGACTTTGATTTTTTTGCTATTCATTGTTAGTTTTAATAAAAAAACTAACGGTGATACTTTAATTTAAATTATGAGAGATTATATATAGATTTTTAAACTATAGGGGAATTATGTGGCAAAATATCAAATTACAGAATGTAAAAGGTAATTTACAATTTTACCCTTTTAATAAAGAAAACGATCGTAGATGAACATCCGAAAATACTTGTGAACGGACCCAAGTGGAGAATTTATCCAAGGAGAAGGCACCGGAGAAGAATTCACGAATACTAGGGAAACACCCGCAGCATCTGACGAACGAAAGGGGAGCCTGTTATACTCACTTTCTTCTATGGCCATGGCGCTGTTGACGCGGCCGAACGCGGCGGCTCTGTGGGTGGGCAGGTGTCGTCTCTTTTGCTGTCGTACTCTCGTTTCTCTGCCAGCAAGACGGGAAGGACATCATTTCAGTGCTCTTATATTCTCGAATGTGAAGCTTTCCTCTCGCATCGGATTGACGGCTGTTCCTGCTGTATCTCGTCGGGAATTCTGCGTCCGTGCGGCAACTGGGGTCAATGATTCCGGCTCAGTGGACTCTACTTTGATCCAGTCCATGGGGAGGAAGGTTCGATCCACTGAACGCATCTCTTTTTTGCCCTTCTTGTATGATACATTCTGTCAAAACGAGCTCCTCTTATCATTTTCTTCACTTAGTCGGAGCAATCTTTGGCTCAAGAGAGTTGCTTTATTTGCGTAAAAATGGTTGATCCTTTGTACCTGCGGCAAAAGAGACCAGAAATCTTTAAAGTAGGAAAATTTCTTCGGCGAATTATGAATGTTATATGGCGGGACTAGGATGAAGCCTTTGGGAAAATCCACAGTTGACAAATTTCAGTTACGCCGGCCAACTTGATTATCTCGGGGTAAAATATCAGTATACAATTAACTAGACCTTGAAATGGAATGAAATTTATTTAGTATTTTACTGCTAACGACTTTGACACCATTAAATGGTTAAAGAAAAAAATAAAAGGGACGTGGAGATTGGGGCTGGTTCCTTGGTGTAAAAAAGGAGAGTTCCTCTAAAGTAATACTGCATCAAATTCTGGATGCAGATGAAATTAGAAATGTTTTAACTTTGCAACTCATTCTCATTCATGATGAATTTCTCTTTTGATCATGATGAATTTCTCTCCTTCTCATTCTCATTCTCATTCAGCAAGAAAGTATTCTCTTTTGATCATATTGATGGCTTTTGCTCTTAAGATTGGTCTCCATGTCGGTGGTTAGTATTATTGATGAGGTTAGAATGGAGATTGGTTTCAAGGATTTTAAGGTGATGCCAGCCTCTTGATCATTCACTCATCCCTTAGGATTCAATTGGTGCTTTTGTTAGCTAAATGCTTAATCTGAAGTTCATTGATGGTTGTTGATGTTCTATAATTGCAAAAAATTGGTCATCTACGACTTCATAGTTGGTTGTTTGAAATTTTGGTATGCACAATTGAATCGTAGTCCTCTCAGCACTCATGTACAGACCACCAGCGATCAGTGATCCGATTGCTGATGAAGAAAGAGAATTCTTCGTTCAGTTCTTCACCTTATCGACTACTTGTGTAATTTCCATTACTGGTTGACAAATCTTTTATATCCTCCAATCGTATTCCCTTTTGGTATAACTAGTCTTTTTAGTGAATTTTTTAAGTCAAAATTGTGACATGGGGCATCCTTTATTTATTAGATAGCTCAGGAATATATGGTTTGACAAATGTTGGATCATCATGTATTATACTTTTGTAGGGGACTTAGTTATCTATATATATATATATATATATATATATATATATATATATATATATATATGTCGGTGTTAACTTTTAGATTCTCAATGCTTCTGCTATTCTGTGTTTCAACAGATCAAGGAACAGCTTAATGCGGAATCCGTCATAGTGAAGGATTCTTATGGTGATGGTCGCCATGTAAGGTGAATTTGCCGTTGTCGTTTATTTAATACATTTAAGGACATCTGATGCCTTCTGTTAATCATTGGCTGTAATGTGAACATTAATTGCAGTGAAGGATCTTATATGAAGCAATCATCTTTAACACAGTGCTATGAATATTCTCATTGGCTGTATTGTGTTTTGCAGCATTGATGTAATCTCTACAGCTTTTGAGGGTCAATCTGCTGTGGGTAGGCAGAGGATGGTATACAAAGCTATATGGGAAGAACTTCAAAACACAGTACATGCAGTTGATCAGATGACCACAAGGACTCCTGCAGAAGCAGCAGCAGAGGGATAAATTACTGCACACATTGGCATATTGTGTTCCCGTTTTGTCTACAATCCAACTTTACCGGACTAATATCCTCATCACAGGAAATAACTAATAAGTTGGTTAAAGAAAGTTGTTTAGTCTCTAGACGCATATTTGAACAATGGTATCTGCTTCATGTTTTCACTCTATTCATTGATTTAGCCTTCATGTTAGTCCTGCTGTTCTTCCCTTTCCCACGTCTACCTGGATTGGTGGGAGCATCAAGGATGCCTGAGGGGCTGCGGCACTAATGTTAAGTTCGGTTTGAAAAGTATGGTTTAGATATTGGTAAATGCTTTAAATCAGATTTTTTGGAGGCTGCTGTTAGACTGCTTAGGAAACTAAGCAATGTCCTACCAAAGCTTGCGATTCGTTTTATGCATTTGACGTCTTAACACGCGGGGAATGCAAATCCACCAGGTTTGATAGCACTAGCTGGGAAATCTTAGTACTTCAATTTTTCTCTTACCATCCTCAGTAGTTGTTAATTACGCAGACACTGAGCTATTATATCCATAGCCTTGAAGTCTGTTCAAATGTAGAATGATCCAATTTTGGATAGATGCACGTGTAAACAGCTTTAAATTACAAAGCGAAGAAGTACCTGTCGTCAACAATAAATCATCTACGACAATCTACTTGGTTATCATATATACACGCATCAACAATTGGCGCACCTTCATATACAAGAATAAGCAACCTTGCTGCAAAGGGATTGTAATCTTTTGTCAAATAGGTCGAATGTATTGCATACGCTGATCAGCCCCGAACATTCAACCAAATGAAGGTAATATGGGATTCATGGCAATGCCAGATCCACCAAAACTCCCAGGCTCGGTGTGCTTCACTCTACCAAAATATCTGATATGCCGTAGCAATCTGGCCAAGAAAGGGTTATGACATATTGTTGAGCTATCACAAATGACGGCAACATGTTTGCGCGCTCTTGTTATAGCAACATTCATTCGCCGGCTATCCCCTAAAAAGCCAACAGCGCCCAAGTTGTTTGAGCGCACCTAAAGCATGTAAAGTATAACAACATTTCAATAGTCTGGACCATTTAAAACTCAACAAAAGGTCAATAAAGAAATATTTAAATGACTTTTTAAGTGGATACCATGGATATTATGACGGCATCTGATTCCCGGCCTTGGAAGCTATCAATGGTTGCAACATCAACACCCGCTGCCTCAGGAACCTCATCAAGCCTGTCCCTTAGTAGCTGCACTTGGGCAACATATGGGGACTGCACAGCAATGGCTGTTGGACTAACACCTGCATAACAACATTGAAAATGAGATGTGCTCGAAATTTGGTATACAGTAGATTTTTTTCACCAGTAAATAAGAGATGAAACTGATGTTTACAGATTCTTACGACAGTTCTTAGTTTTCCAATAGATGAGTCTTGTCTTTATTCTTCCAAGATCTAATATAAAGGAGTAGAATTTTAAATAACGTGTAACTTTTCTTATCCTGACACTGTAAGAATTAATTTACATGCGTGACAGATAGGCTCTGTTCAACATGAAATCCGCTTTTCGTGTGTGTCACACATCTAGCGAGATCTGAAAGGACAATTTTTAGGGAGTTCATAAAATATTCTCTGCTAAAAAAAAGCACTTATTAAATCAGGTATTTTTTCTTTGGGCTACTATACAGATGTTCAATCATGAATTAGCTGGCTTCATTTGCTATACAGAGGGTCCTTTTTTTTTTTTTCCCTTTTTTGTTGGTGGAAGGAGCTCTCTATCTTCTAAATTCTTTGTTATTCTGAGGAAAAAGGATTCTATGCAAGTCTGTCTAGCTATTGAATTAGTAACCCAAATAAAGTCACAAACAGGAAAGATCACACAAGTGAGGAAGCTGAGAACCACGTCATATAATTCAAGACCAAAAATCTGAAAGAGCAGAACGTTGGGCTTTTCTGGATGAAAAAACTAGCTACGTGAACTCGATTAGAACTAGCATTGTACAGATTTTCAAGCACCATATATTGTTTCAAGTGAAGAAAACTGCAGATTCACAGCAATATCTTCCATCATAGTTAATTAATTGAAGGGCTTTTTTGGTTTTGGAATCATCTAAACTACTTCCAAATGTTGTGTATCGCTAATGTAACCCAAAACAGGAAGGATGTCTAAAATGTTTAACCCCAAACCTTGATCAAGCCTCGATATTGTTTGTCTAATCAACCACTTTAAGCGCATCTAACTCCAAAAGGTAGGGATTCATTTGACCCATTCCTTGTACCATTTTCACCTAGTACGCATCAACCTAAACCAAAATGCATGATTTCTCTAATAATAGTTCAAAACTTCTGCAGCCAGATTGCTGTACAATGTTATCACCATGGAGGCAAGAGATGAAAACACAATAAGGTTTTAGTTGTCCAAATTTGTCAATGCTACTTTCCTCCTCTTCTTGCTAGTTTCCGGTTTCTTCTATTGTCTGACTTCTTCTTCTTCTTCTTCTTTTTTGCCTAAGTTTTTTAATCTCAAGAAAACCACTCCAATTTGGGAAATATTAACAAGAATTAGTAGTCCAATCACAGTTACTATGTTGTGATCCTGAACAATTTGAGAACAACCATGTTCTAGTCATGTAGTTACTACTCCTTACTTGTTTCTGCCATTTCTTATTCAGATTACACACAATATGAACAGAGATTTAAACTTTGTCCGGTGCTGCCCTTATGTGCTACTGCTACTCCAAGAAAAAATACTCAACATATCAGACTTGAATAATGATAAAATTTATTAGGGTTGACTCCATCTAGACTCTCTAAAAATTTCTCTATATTATAGAAAAGGCCCCTCAGGGTGACATGACTTTTAACAATATATGTGAATCATTTAATCAATTCATCAAAATACTCGAGTGACAAACCCACCATCATAATGCTTGAAATGATAAGACGGCAACTGATACAATTCTTTAGGTTGCCAAGCAATTTAATGGCGGGTTAGTCTCTCGCTAACAAAAAGCGACAAATTGGTCACTTCATTTATATAATTTTCTGACCATGTCAGCTACTGATAATTGTGGGAATGGTTCAGCCACTTGACAGCATCCTGTGAAGTACACATGACCCAATCAGCCATTAAGTGGACTGTCCAACAGGATTGCACATAATTGGAAATATTGTAATATTATACCGGTGGACTGATGCAATTCAACCTTCAGGAGATCAATGTGAGAAAATGGTAATTTTAAAGGGGGTTTATTGGAATTAACCCTAAAGTTTATGTAGGTTAAGCATCTTTGATTAGATTAAACAGTGATAGTGTGTCTCCAACAAAGACCAGCCACAACTTAAAGAGCAACCGAGACACTATAGTGAGTGTGTACAGGTCAAAATTGAGACCTCCAGTTACAGCATGGCATGGTCAATGAAAGGCTAGGCGTAGGCATCATTATCTAAAAAATGCAAAGTTTTATCTGCATGCAGCCAACATTTATGATCACTGTTAACTGATTGTCCATAAAGTGTCAGCCCTAGCATTGATATCTTTAGAGAAGGAAAGTGCTCCAAAGCTTTTGGTATAAATGGGCACCCAGCCAAGTAGGGGCGAGCATATTCAGTGCACACCAGATTACCGACCAATTTGAAATGAATTTGGTAATTCGATAATTAGGTTGGTGAATAATTCCCACCGCACACCACATTTGTTGAATTTGAAGTAGGTACAGAATTGGTAAGGGATTTTCCCAATCTGGTGCGCCTAATTTCGAACTCAAACATGGTATATCAAAGTAGGGTAACGCATTACTGTTACCAATTCAGCTACCTTCATGCTACATATGCATTTCTAAATGTCTAAGTTAGACTAGTTAGTCACGTATTATTTGTTATGTATCCTGATATCCATCACCATATACTATAATTGTGTTTTTGTCTATTATATCCAGTTATCCATCATAATATGATTGTATGTCTATGAATTACAAATCATGTTATCTATAAAGTTTTCATGCATAATCTGACTAAAGTAGTAGTGCTATATTGTATAAACATCATAGGCAGTATGATAGAGTATATCAACTATTAATCCCGTATTAATATATGACTAAAAAAGAACATATTTAATGTATCACATATTTTTTTAGCCTTATTTCAGTATAGAGAAACATATTTGCATACCATATCAACCTAGGCTAGTAACATTGAAATTTGATTGTATTTGTAAATTGCAATTACACATGGTATATGTGATTATATTCATATGTATGTTTTAGTGTCTTCTGTACATATGCATAGATTACAACCATAAAGCATAACAAATTATGAGTAAATGAAGTTATATTGTAGATTACAATCAAACTATTGAGAAATATAAGTGATACATATGAATGTAGGATAGGAGTTTTATTTACATGTATATTTTCTTGTGGTGAAAACAATTCGTGCTGCTTTCATATTGGTTTCGAATTGGATTGGAATCAAAATGAAACTAGATTTGGCTGAATTAGGAAAGCAAATTACGTACAAGATTTTGGAGCTCAAACAACTGATAGCACCAGTTTAATTGTACTGATGCACACGCTTATGACCAAGCATTCAATTCAACATACAAACAACATGCTAGTAATACATCTACATCCAATATTCAAGCCAGTCAAATTCAGCATGGCAAGTAATCCAACAAGGTTTAGTTGTTTTCCTCTTTCACAATTCTTTTAAGCAAAATAAAAAGCCAGAATTGCCTAATTAGTTTATTTGAGGTAATAGACATAATTATAAAAAAATGCAGGTTGAACTTTGAAAGCAAGATGACAGTTTAAAGGCAGAATCCTTTTCTGTTTTTGGTTTAGGGTGATATACATGATATCTGCCATAGCCACTTATGCACTTGGGGTGTAGGGAGTCACTGGTTGGACTCTCACAGATTTGTCACTTTTTCAAACCAGGATCACACAAACTCCATTTTTTTTTAAAGATATTTCAGGAATATATTCCTGCAACTATTTCTCCAAGTTCCAAACAGCTAAAAACAGCTTACCATCTGCAAAATGTTTTTGCCAGGATACCAATAATATATAGGACCAAGAATCCAATACTTTTTGCTCACTCTGTCCTCGACAGATGGAAGTAAACATTCAGTGGCTTGACAAAAATCAGGTAGGAAGTTCGTTGTTTCGCTGGACTTGTACTGAATTCAAGTTTTTCCAAATTAATGAAAGTCATGTAACTGATGTAGGCAAGTTGAACATTTTGAGATAATCAGTTTCCTTCTGAAGTGGTTCCAAGAAAAATAACAAATATAAAAGAACTGCACAAGTAGATAGAGTAAAAAGACTGGAGGCAAGTACCAGCGTTAATCAAAGAATAGACATGTTGCACAACGATGTCTGCTTCCCCCTCATTAAAAAAAGAGCCTGTGCCAGCAGGATCCAAGTGCTCTTCACAACCAATTGATAAACTTCCATGAGGCATTCTTGTGTCAAGCAAAAGCAAAGGGCACTGTGTTATCCATGTGGGCTGCATTTCAGCATAAGGAATGTTAACATAATTTCTAGGCTTTGAGTGGAACAGCCAATAGGCATGAAACTGTGTAGGAACTATATTTGTTTAACTGTAAATTGATAATATCATTTGAACCCTTTAACAAGGAGAACCTATATTTTTGTAATTTATACTGCAGCACATTAGCTCTGGTCTTGGAAAGAAGACTGAAGAAAACGTCCAGGCATTTGGCAATTAGCATAGAAGAATAAATGGGTACTTTTTCGTTCAGATGAATATACCAAAATATTGTCATTATCACTGAACAAAATTGACTATTTCCAAGCTTTTGCAAGTACTACATAGAAACATACACATCTGTGAGCCTTGCATGTCCAAGTTTATGATACGTATGTGTACGCATCACATCATCTTATATGTAGCTCATTAGAGATTAGTAAGCCTGTGAAGCACCCATTTAAGCACTCCTTTTGCATTACCAGCGTGTTTGAACAGACGTGATATCTTTAAGGTGAAATTAGCATCTAGTTACTTTTACATCAGACGCATCTTAATGCAATGCAATGAAGTATTAAAATCAAATAAAAAGAAATGTGGTCAATGAATAAATTTTCACGTTCTGAGGTTCCATTGTTATTAAGTAAAGTTCCACACTTGCTCCATATCACACAAATCACCCTATACTTGGTTGCTTCTTTTGCTTCAAACTCTCAATTCAATCATAAAATTCATTAATCAGTTCATATTGTTGTGCCGAAAACCATTGTAAAGAAAAAATATTGCCAAAATCCAATATACCTTGACGAAGGGTGAATCTACAAGAAGATGACTGCTGACACTTGAAGAAGACTTCAAAAGTCCACCATACATCTCTTTTGAAGCCCAGCTGGCTATTGCATTATTCATTCTGTACTGTACAGTCAGCCTGGTTACCATAATCCCTTTGTGCAAACTTGCTGCTCGTTCTAGAAGAGATATTCCAAGACCCCCTTCAGCAGCTTTTCTAGACAAAATAACAGGAGCAAGCTGGCACTGATCCCCAGCAAGAATACATCGTTTTCCTAGCAAAATTGGTATCCAACAAGACGGTTCAATGGCTTGACCTGCTTCATCAATAACAACCAAATCAAAGGTGTCCAACCTTCTAATGAGCGGATCAGCTGCCCCAGTGTTTGTGGCAAGAACTACTTGAGCGCTAGACAAAATTTCTCTAACAGTTTCCTTTTCCTTCTTCTTCATTGTTTTTCCCAGTTGCTTCAGGAGCTGACGTATGCCAGCAGCCAAAGAATCATCCTTTAAACAATGTTTAAGGTCCTTTCTTAAATTGGACTTCTTTCTCTCAATCTCTGCTTGAAAATCTGCAAGTTTGGCGTTAACAATCTGAACCAAAGATCTCGAAGCTACTGCTTGAGATATTCGCACTGGGTTGCCGACCCGAACAATTTTGATCCCACTATCACACAATTTTTCAACCATGTTGTCAACAGCTGAATTTGTAGGTGCTGTTACAAGCACCCTTTCACCTTGTTTAACCGCAAGGGGAATAAGTTCTTTCAACAAACCTGTTTTTCCAGTCCCAGGAGGACCTTGAATTATCAGCGCAGGTCGCTTCCTGTTTAGACCCAATGCAATTGCTCTTCTCTGCGAGACGTCATATGATTTACTATCTAACAAGCCATTCAGTTCCACTTCAGTCCAGTCTACTAAATGATTCTCTTCCAGCAATCTAACAACTTCGCTGTCTCCAAATAGCGTAGTCACAACAGCTATTGATGGATTTCTTTTTTGCAAACCTTTCTTCTGGAGCATCATCAGAGCTTCACAATTACGCTGCGAAGAAGCTAATGACAAAATAAGGATCCACAATGTACATATCTCAATTCTGTTAGGTATAGCTAAATAAAATGCCCAAGACAGGTGCTACAGGCAAACTAACTGTAAAGTTGATTACTGCAAGCCAAGATGTGGCAACTTAATCCTAACCGACTTCTGTTTTCCCCATATCATCTAGTTCCCTGGAGTAATAATCAATGCAAAGAAAGAAAAGTGGAGAAAAATGAAGAACAAAAAGCAAATCAAAAAGTCAGCAGCAGTTCAAATTATGAAAGGTTGTATTCTCAGCAAACTCTAATTGCTTCTCCCTATTGCCACGAACTGATTGAACCAATCAATTTGGCAACCAGTCAGGTAGTCTCATATTTGTGTGAGCGGAATCCCTATCTCCTCGAAGACAAGTCCCCAGAAGGTCCCAGTGGATACTGGACACTCCTGACATTCCTCCCGAAGCAGATGGATAGAATTGAGAAATGGCACAACTAAGGTCACCCATTAATATATCCCCAAGTGCAAGCGTGAACTTTGACAGAACAAAAACACAAAAGACTTGAGCAATTATAAAGAATGCATCCTTGCTTTTTTGGGCACTCTCGGGAAAAATGGAAGAGAATGGAATAAATTTAGGATTTTGATATTAATCAAAAACAAACTGAATGAACAATCATGTGCATAGAGAATGAAGGTGAAGTGGCTGTAAAGGACGTGTTCAATGTGCCTTCTCATGGCAAATTTGAAGAGAAGACATAGCTGTGCACAGCAATGACGCACATTCTCAGCAAAGAAGAAGGAAGAAGGTAGTGGTGCGTTAAAATAAATTAAAAAAAGGGAAGGGAAGAGAGTTTTTGCATGCGGTTTAAAACATGGGCTAACAATTGGAAAATCAGATAACCTAAAAAGATGTATTGTAAATCCATATATGTCATGAGGGTCAGCCATGATTTTCACAATTAATCTCCCTAAGTATCATATTGTGTTGCTTATAATCCATAAAATTCAGAAAATTGAAGAAGATTGAAACTGACATATGGAAGATACTATGACTCTCATTGTTCCACTTGAGTTCCAGCAGTAGCACAAATCTCCTGGTTCAGAAAGAAACAAGAAGCTTTTATAGCAAGTACCTCATATGTGACAGCATCGGCCAGACCTTGGATACGATCAATGCGGATGCTCTTGCCAAAGAGCTTAGAAAATGTTGGATCACCATAACGGGATTCCAGGGCCACAGTGATGCTACATCCATCTTCCCCTAAATTATTCACAAAACCTTGCATGCAAGAAGTGGCACCAGCACCCCTACTGTCACACGTTCGCACGCAAACCATGTCTCCAGGAGATAGGGTTGTGGGAGGTAATCTATGATTTCCCTCTGCTCTGAATAGCACCAAATGCATTCCCCCTAATCCTGCATGCACAACTAGATAATGTTAGGAATCAAACAACCTAAAGCAGTAGTGCTGACTTGATACGAGCAAAACTTGGGCAACAACCTGTCGGAAAACAAATTGACTGTCACCTGTAGATGTGCTAACAGCATTCAGATTGCAGATAGTATCACAGAGTTCTTGCTCAGCCTGGGCATGGCTAACCAAAAATTCAATCGGCTTTGCAGCGTCAGAATTCTCATCCGGCATAGGAACAGCATTCAACTCCTCTTGTGTAAACTCCAATTCGGCATCCCTTTCGATCAAAAGTAGATCCGACATATGCTTGGTGAAATCATCTATCCTATTCTGAATGGCTTGAACCTTCTCGAGATCCAATCCTAAAACCCCTGGCACGGACTTTGGCTGGGGATTCTTCCTGGCAATGGCTCTATGCTGAGCTGCAAGTGGACAATGCTATGTGAAGATCAAAAGGAATGGAAGCAACCTGAATTGGACGTCTACACTGTGGTCGACCCCAGGAAAATAAAACCCTCCACAACCAAAAGAGCAACATTAATGATGATAAAAAACCAATGGAAGGTAGTAAGAGAAAACCAGAATTTGCTAATTCTTTTAGCAGCTTCCAAGACTCAGTTTGGCGCCAATCCTGAAGCACCGACTTCCGCTGGAGATCCTGAAGCACGTCTCTAAGCTCCCTCTGGAAATGATCGAACAGGGTGGGATAATGAGTGCAGACCTTGAGGCAGATGGCTTCGAGACCAAGGGGCATGGGGACGGCGTTGAGGTATGGCTGGGCCTGGATCACGAAGGCCAAACCTGGTCCCATACGTTGTCTGACCTCAGAGAATTCCCCCTGCATCTCAGCAGTGGTAAAATCGGAAGCCATGGCTTTCATGCCTTGGCATATCCATCTAACAACGCACTTACCCAAATCTCTCCGCCCGAGTGGATCACCGTTCTGATACAGAGAACGCACGTTAGCCGGTGAACATGTTTCCTGCCCATTCGGTCCCTGTGCTTCTCGCCTCCTTACCCTGTCTCCGTCACCTTCAGCAACAGTCGTAATGGTCGCAATCTCAATAGGCCCTACACCGGTTTTCAGCCCGGCAATGTCAGCATCAGCAACAGCTCTTCCTCCTCCCCTGTTCTTACGGTGGCTTCTTTTTCTCTTTGTATTGGTGGCGCAGAAAGTTGTGCTGCGCCGACAACCGGTCCGGGGGCAGCGTGAAAATGGGGAGGCAAATGAGAGGGGATGAGAAAAGACGAGATTATTGCCATCGAACAGATACGTGGAAGCCAAGGTACGATGAGCGGGGAAAAGGAAGTCATTGCAGCGGCGCCAGCAGAAACTGGGGCGTCTTTGAAGTGGCTTCAAGTCCAAGGTGGAGATGCTTCGGCAGGAAATGCAGGAGGCTTCCATCTATCCCAGCCCTAAACCCAATTCACATGTCTTAACTCCCAATAAATACTAATGAATTCGGAGCACAAGTACGGCAATGCAAACCCAGCGAATGGGCAGTCTCCACGGGGCGTGGAAAGGAGGCGCCTCGTACTTGTTTTTTTTTATTCTTCTTCGAATTCGAATAGCGGTCACAATATTTGTACGACTGCTCCAATATCATTAGAAATTTTTATCGTTGTCATCTCCGATTCAGAAACAGCACCGCCACAACCGAAAAAAGGCTGGCTGCGTGTGAGGTTGGCAGCCTAGTGGGAGGTCGCTATTGGCATGTAGAAGCAGGTCCCAGTTAAAACGTGAGATCCCGAGATCCTTTTGATTGGCTCCTGCGATTCTGCCCCTTTTGAGCGACGTGGTCGTGTGTTTTCCTTTGTTTTTCTTTTCTTTTTTGTTTTTTTTCGTGTCATTGTAGGTGAACTGCGCTGTGTGTCATTATGTTGAACGTATGCATTTTATATTTCCTAAGAATTTTAATCGTGACTTATCAAGGTTTTTTTATTTATTTATTATGAATTTATACAAATAATGAATAATTTAAATATAAAAATTAATAATAATTCTATATATTTATTCATATTAAATTTAAAAAATTAATATATTTTAAATGTTCAATTATTTACTAATTTTTAAAAATTTATTTACATACTTTCACTATAATATGCTAGTATACATCAAACAATATATCCCACATCCAAAATTTGATAGGTATTCTTTTTTATAAATATTCTTTTAGATAATTTAAACTTTTATAATGACCATAAATCTAGAATTATATATTCATACTTATTAAGTAGGAAAAGATCCATTAATCCATTTTTCTTCATCAATGAATATTCAACTTCTAATAATATTGGTAAATTTATTGGTGTAACAGTTAATTCTCTTGTTTACACTATGTTAATTCAAAATTAAGAAGAGATGATAATGAACCATTTGAATATTAATCAATGATATGGTGGTGAATGGAAGTAATTTATGAGATATGTAAGATTTCAATAATGTGATTTAAAAATGTTTTACTATACTTCTATGTAATAATTTAGTAGAAAACAAATATCATTAAATTAAGATTAGTTATTTTTTAAAACTATTTTAAAATTAAAGATAATTTTTAAACATATAATATAATCATTGTAATAATTTGATAGACAACAGATATCGTTAAGAAAAGATTAGTTGTTTTTCAAAATTATTTTAAATTAGAGATAATTTTTAAACACATAATATAATCGAAATAGGATTTAATATGCGTAAAATTCAAGTAACTTATTACTCGTCAATTCTTTTCAATTAGGCATGTCATATAGGAGTGAAAAATTAAAAATTTAGGTTGATCAATCCTTAATTTTGATGATGATGGAATAAAATGATGATTTGGACTAATATTTTTATATGATAAATGTTTAGGGACATGTGCCTTGCAAAATGAAAACAGAAGGATAACAAATCACGAAGAATTAAAGGGGAAATCTACCTATCAAACGCAAACAAAGTATCGGACATTCGACAATCAGTGAGTATACGTTGGACATTTCGATCGGACACTTATTCCTTTTATCGGTCGTTCAGTACAAAAATGGTTGAAACTTGAAATTTTCGTTTTCTATCAAACGCAAGGATCCAACGTAGAACAATTGGATCGGACGTTTTACATGATTGGTTCGGACGTCCGACAGGTCCAACAGCTAATTTTTTGATCGTTGCAGGAATTTTTGGGCCATATTTTCACCATCCATTAGGGATGGCAAACGGATCAGAAACGAATTAACGGGTCGGATTGAGATTCGGGTATAACAGATAACCTGTTGACTTGAATACAACTCGCCAACCTGAAACGGGTTAGAATATCTGTTTCGAATCTAAAAATTTCGAGTCAACCCGAATGATTTGAAATATAATTTCAATTCACTATTTTACCACTGTAGTTTCTAACGGAACTAATTTTGCACAAGACTAATTACATAATCAAATAATAAAAATTTAAATAAAATAATCCCAAATTAGATCTTAAATAAATTAAAATGCTATAAAAATATTTTATCCCAAATCAGATTTAAAATAAATTAAAATACTATAAAAATAGAAAATAATGTAATGTATCATTTGTCCAAACACAATAATTTTAACTTCACACAAATTAAATAAATTCATTTAGAATTAAGTGGTTAATGCATTTGAAAAAAAAAGAATAACTTAGTTTAGTTAGATAAAATATTTTATATTTATTAAATATTTTTTAATTTATAAACGGATAATCGGGTTAACTCGTGGGTGGCCTGAATTCGATCTTTTTTTTGGGGTTCATCGGGTTCAACCCGAACCTGTGAAATCTCAAGTTGAACCCATTAATTTTATGTTAGATTTGTGTCGTGTTTTTATGTCGTATCGAAAATTGTCACTCCTATCATCTATGAATACCTCAAAGCATGAGAAGAATACAAGTTTTTTAAAAGTGATTCTTGGATAGAAAAATATTTTTATTGTTATATAGGTATGGGAGAATTGGGTTTATGAGATTTCTCAAGAGGAGAGCTAAAATCTTGTGCATGTGAATCTAACTTGTATAATAGCTATTAATTAGTTGATTAGTTGGCAATCAATTGTAGTACAGTAAGAGTTAACTAAAAGTGTTGTAAAACCCTTTGCCTCAACTAAAGAGTATGGGGTGAGTAAAGAGTGATTTTTCTAATGTACAAGGTGATTTGCAATCAATTGTAGTATAGTAAGGGTCGATTAGGAGTGTTGTGAAACTCCTTTTTGTCTCAATTAAAGAGT